CGCACTGCGGGGGGAGAGGGGGAGAGAGAGTGAGAGAGAGAGAGAGAGAGCCGATCCAGCAGGTCTACCCAGTGATAGAGCTCGCACTGCGGGGGGAGAGGGGGAGAGAGAGAGAGTGAGAGAGAGAGGAGTGAGAGAGAGAGAGAGAGAGACAGCCGATCCAGGAGGTCTACCCAGTGATAGAGCTCGCACTGCGGGGGGAGAGGGGGAGAGAGAGAGTGAGAGAGAGAGAGAGAGAGAGAGAGAGAGAGAGACAGCCGATCCAGCAGGTCTACCCAGTGATAGAGCTCGCACTGCGGGGGGAGAGGGGGAGAGAGAGAGAGTGAGAGAGAGAGAGAGAGCCGATCCAGCAGGTCTACCCAGTGATAGAGCTCGCACTGCGAGGGGAGAGGGGGAGAGAGAGAGTGAGAGAGAGAGAGAGCCGATCCAGCAGGTCTACCCAGTGATAGAGCTCGCACTGCGGGGGAGAGGGGGAGAGAGAGAGTGAGAGAGAGAGAGAGAGACAGCCGATCCCGCAGGTCTACCCAGTGATAGAGCTCGCACTGCGGGGGGAGAGGGGGAGAGAGAGAGTGAGAGAGAGAGAGAGCCGATCCAGCAGGTCTACCCAGTGATAGAGCTCGCACTGCGGGGGGAGAGAGTGAGAGAGAGAGAGAGAGAGAGCCGATCCAGCAGGTCTACCCAGTGATAGAGCTCGCACTGCGGGGGGAGAGGGGGGGAGAGAGAGAGTGAGCCACAGAGAGAGTGAGGGAGAGACAGAGAGAGAGGCTGGTGGGGGTATGGGGGTGCTGGGGGGATCGGCGGGGGGTTTTCCGGGGGCCTTACCTTCCCGATATTCCATGTCTTGATTTGTTGAAGTTCTGTCAGCAGCTGCTCATCATTACAAGCTTTTAGCTTCTCAATCAGAGCTCGACAGTCAGCAGGCTACAGCGAGAGATAGTCACTGATATTACTGTCTCACACACACACACACCCTCACACACACACACTCTCACACACACACACACTCTCACACACACACACACCCTCACACACACACACTCACACACACACACACCCTCACACACACACACACCCACACCCTCACACACACCCACACCCTCACACACACACACCCTCACATTCACACACACCCTCACACACACACCCTCACACACACACCCTCACACACTCACACACACACCCTCACACACACACCCTCACACACACACCCTCACATTCACACACACCCTCACACACACACCCTCACACACACACCCTCACACACTCACACACACCCTCACACACACACACACTCTCACACACACACCCTCACACGCACACACACCCTCACACACATCCTCACGCGCACACACCCTCACGCGCCCACACACCCTCATGCGTACACACCCTCACGCGCACACACCCTCACGCACACACATCCTCACGCACACACACTCACGCGCACACACCCCCTCACACACACCACTCACGCGCAGCACACACCCCCTCATTCACACACACCCTCACACCAGTCATTATACTCACACACACACCATCTCTCAACTCAGACTCTCGATGGATGTGTCAGCCTGACTCAGTCAGTCAGTCCGCACTCTCACCCCCTCCCTTCCCACCCCACGGACCCCCTCCCTTCACCCCCACCCACATTCCCCGACCAAAACAAAGGCTGCGGGTGAGTTGATGAATAATAATAATAATAATAATCCTTGTATTTGACACCACAGCTTATCACGGCGTCGAGACGTCTCGAAGCGCTTCACAGGACACACCGGAGAGTGGAGTCAGCTGTGTTTCACCCACAACACAGTCACTTTACAGTGTATCCCACGAAGCACTTTGAGACGCCTCGAAGATGTGATAAGGCGCTGTGTCAAACACGAGGCGTATGATTGTATTATTATTACTGTTACTACTACTGTTGTTGTTGTACTATTATTATTAATATCCCCCAAACCTAAACACCTCAGACTTACTGCTTCAGTTGGCGTTTTCTTCAGTTTGGTTCGGTCAACTTTCATTTTTCTTTCGTGGTCTGTAACCTAGTTCTGGAGAGAGGGGGAGAGGGAGAGAGGGGGAGACGGGGAGGGAGATGGGGGAGGGGGGGTGGGGGAGAAAGGTAAGAAAGGGAGAGAAAAAATTTGAAAGGTTCAGTGCATTTAAACACACACACAAAGCAATTCTGTCACGGAAAACTTTTAGAACCCATTCGCAGAAGTAAAACCGTCAGAAGTCACGTCGGGGTTTGTGCTTTTAATTTCCCGCAATAGGGCTCCACCCTGAGACGCAGCGCTGTTGTGCCTTTTCGTGAATGGGGGTCAGAGGGGGAAATGTCAGTGTGTGGAGGGGCGAACACCAGCACAGACACGATGGGGGGAGAGAGGGAGAGAGCGAGAGAGGGAGAGGGAGGGAGAGGGAGGAGAGCAGGGGAATGGGGTTAGAGGAGACAGCGCCAGTGTGTGGGGGGGGAAGCGAGCGCACCCGTCACGCGAAACACACGGTCACTCCACTCGACTGAGACGTCTCAACCGGCGCGACAAGGCGCCGGGTCAAAAATTTCAGGATTATTATCACTGTTGTTCCGGCGGAGTCCTGCGAACGTGTGACGGGGGTTCAAAGGCGCGTTGCGAAGAAAAAAAGGTGAATAATGATCTTATAATAATAATAATAATAGTACTCCTGGCGTTATCGGGCTGTTGAGACGCCTCAAAGTGCTTGACAGATGTGAAGTGGGCGCTGGAGGCAGCGTGGACGACACAGGAAACTGCGGAGGGTGTGGGGGGGGGGGGGTTTCCGCTCTGTCTACAGCAAACCGCCTTATCCACTCTTCACCTCTCTCGCGACGCGTTCTCTCGCGACGCGGCGTATACACAGCAGAATCCCGGCACTAAGCAGCGAGGCTCCCAGAGCCTTCACGGCACATCGGTGTTTCTAATATTATAATAATAATAATAATAATAATAATAATAATAATAATCCCGGCATTTGACGCAAGGCCTCGAGTCCCGTCGTCGAGGCGCCTCAAGGCAGGGACTCGCTGTGAAGCGCGGTGTTTTGCGGGCGAAACGCGGCACCCGATTGCGCCCGGCGACGTCCCCCACAAACAGCCGTGGGCTGAGTGACCACATTATTATTATTATTATTAGTGCTTTTGAAGGGATTATTACCCCCGGAAAAGTGATCAGTCAATTGACTAACAACCGGGTACCTACTGACTGCTGGTGTGTGTGCGTGTGTGTGCGTGATTGCGTGTGTGTGCGATTGCGTGTTGTGCGTGATTGCGTGTGTGTGCGTGTGCGCGTGTGGAGTAAGGGAATCGAACCCAGGTCCTCTCGCTTGTGAGCTTGTGAGGCGAGTGCTCCGACCGCTGCGCTACCGGACTCCACAACACCGGAGGCGCTCCGTTTGCGGCAGAAATAATAATAATAATCCTTGCATTCGGTCCGGCGACTCTCGCAATGGGAGGACGCCCCAGACCGACTCCCCGTGAAGACTTACACGCGCGCAGGACGTGCAAACACTCGCGAGAGGTTGTGGATTCGAGCCCCGCATCTGGACATCACAGCGCTGGGGGGGAGAGAGAGGGAGAGGGAGAGAAAGAGAGAAAGAGAGAGGGAGAGAGACGTATTGTCGGAGACGCCGCTCTTTCCAGACGAGCTGTTTAAACCTCACTCACTCCCCGTCTGCGCCCCGGACGTTAAAGATCTCCCCCCACACAGCGCTGTCGGTGTCGGAGTGGGGGGGCGGGAGGGGGGGGACGACTTTCTCTCTCTCTCTCTCTCTCTCTGTGTCCTGGTTGACGATCCCCTAAAATAAACAGCTCCGTCGTGACACGGACACTTGAGGGGACGTCGCTCCGCGCAATCGGCTGCCGCGTTTCGTCCACAAGACACAGGAAAAAGACTGACTGCCCGGGGCGGGGCAGGGCGGGGCGGGGGGGGGCGGGCGGGGGGGGGGGGGGGGAGGGGGTAGCGCGGGCGGGGAGAGGGGGGGGGGGCGGGCGGTCGGGGGGCGATGAATAACAATAACAATAATAATCCTCACATCTGATACAGCGCCTTATCACGTCTCGAAGCGCACTGCGACCAACACAACCACCACCTACACACACACACACACACGCACACACACGCACACACACACACGCACACACACGCACGCGCACACACGCACTCAGCCGCTGGGGAAATCAGTGAGGCTTCATCAGAGGGCCGCGTTTGCACAGCTCTGCACAGCCAACGCCGACTACCGCGACTACCGCCACCACGACTGTGCGCGTTTACACAGTAATAATCCTGACCCGGCGCCGCGGCGCATCGCCGAGACGTCCCAAAGCGCTTCGCGGGCGTTTTCCTGGGCGTAGCGCCGCGGCCGACTGCGCCCGGGGACGTCCCCCGCAACACGAGCGGCCGCGGGACTCAGCGACCAAATTATTATTATTATTGTCGGGGTTATGACTCCCGGAAAAAGCGATGCGCATCCCGTGAGGCGCTTGGAGGCGTCTCGGAGGCGTCTCGGAGGCGTCTCGGAGGTGTGATCGGGCGCCGGGAATGTTATTGTTATTATTATGATAGAAACAGGAGGAGGCCATTCAGCCCCTCCGGCCCCTCCGGCCATTCTCGGCAGCGGGAGGGACTGAGGGGGGCAGCATCGCTCTGACCACAGGAACATGCGCGCGCACTCACGGGCACGCGCACTCACACACGCAAACCACGCACCCGCCACACGTGCGCGCGCGACCGCGCGCACACGCAACCCCCCCCCCCCCCACCCCCAACACATTTGCACGCATGCGCATACCCGTACACGCGCAGGCCAACGCTCCATGTGCGCTCACACGCAAACACACACGCAGGCACACTCACGAGGGCCGCCGCTCCATACACGCACACACAAGACACACACACAGACAGACAGACACACAAGGCCACCCCTCCACACACAGACACGCACACGCGCGCGCACGCATGCACACAAACACACACACGCGCGCGCACGCGTACACAAAACGCCAGAGCAAAATGGGCCTGTGTTTAGACCGTCCCTCAACCACCTTAACCTTAACCCCACCTGAGCACAGAATTACACAGCAGCAAAACACATATACCCCCCCACCCACATACACACACCCCGCGCACACATATACCCCCCCACCCACATACACACACCCCGCGCACACATATACCCCCCACCCACATACACACACCCCGCGCACACATATACCCCCCCACCCACATACACACACCCCGCGCACACATATACCCACCCCCTACACACACCCCGCACAAATACCATCCCCAAAAACACACGCCTCGCACACACATGTACCCATACACCCCCCCACACACACCCTGCACACACATATACTCACACACGCCCCGCGCGCATATACCCACACACCCTCATCACACACACACACCGCACATATACCCAGCCCCCCCCCACACACACCCCGCACACACACATATACCCACACACACCCCGCACACATATAGCCCCACCCCGACACACACGCGCGCATATATATACCCACACACCCCCCCCACCGCACACATATACCCCCCAAATCCGCCCCCCCACACACACACACCCCACACATACACCCACCATCACCCAGACACCCACCCCCCCCACACCCGCGACCCCCCACGACACACACACCACCACACACACACACCCTGCACACACATACCCCCACTCACATAGATACCCCCACTCACATATCCCCACACACGTATACCCACCTACGCCCGCGCGCATATACCCCCACATACACACACCCCACACGCACATACCCCCACACAACCACCCCGCGCGCGCGTATCCCCACATACGCACCCCGCACAAACACATACCCCCCCCACCCCCGCGCACGCGTTATACATACCCATAAGCACGCACATACATATTACCCACACACACACACACACGTTACCCACACGGACACACGCGCACACGTTACCCACACGGACACACGTTACCCACACGGACGCATAAAAGAAATTTGACAATTCGGTTTACAAAATGGAACAAGTCACCCCCCCCCCACCCCCCCCCACCCCGTGTGCGCGGATCCTCAATCCTGTGGGAAGGACTCAAACACAGCCCCCGGCTTCTCTCTCTCTCTCTCTCTCTCTCTATCTAGATTTCCTCCTGTTGACTCCCTCCCTCCCTCCCTCGCTCGCTCGCTCCCTCCCTCCCTCCCTTCCCTCCCCTCCCTCCCTCCCTCCCTCCCCTCCTTCTGCTACGGATAAACCGTAAAAAAAAAACACAAGGCGCGTAAAAAAAAAAAGAAGAAAAAAAGCGAGGAGCGAAGTAGAAATTACCAGCAGCCCACCTCGAGGCCCGGGGAAGGAATCTTTACTCCCATCACTTCGCTCTCTCTCTCTCTCTCTCTCTCTGTGTGTGTGTGTGTGTGTGTCTATATATATATATATAAAACAGAGGCCTTCCTCGCACCGTCTGTCGGGTTTGATTATTTCCACCTTATCATCGCGTGCAAATTAAATTGCTTCGCTCGCTCGCTCGCACACGCTGCGCGCACACGCACACGCTGCGCGCACACGCACACGCGCGCCCGGCGCCGCGAGAGGGAGAGAGAGAGAGAGAGAGAGAGAGAGAGGCTTTAAACCGGAGGCGACTGAGGACAAGGACCAAAGTGCGGTGGCGGTGGCGGTGGCGTGAGCTGCGTTGGGAGCTCTCTCTCTCTCTTTCTCTCACTCTCTCACTCTCTCTCTCCTCTCTCTCTCTCTCTCTCTCTCTCGCTCACTCTCTCGCTCACTCTCTCTCTCTCTCTCGGCTCCTGGTGCTTAGTCAGTCTGTGGGGAGGCCTCAGGCTTCACGTTAACCCTCTCTCCTCCCCTCCCTCCGTCCCCTCCCTCCGTCCCCTCCCTCTCTCCTCCCTCTCTCCTCCCCTCCCCTCCCTCCCTCCTGACACACACAGGCTCTCGCTCGCACACACACACACTCGCACACGCTCACACGCACACGCTCACACACGCTCACATAACCTTTACCCTCTCCCCGCGCCCCCCCACTCCACCCCCCC